ATTAATTGGAAGGCTAAAATCACTACCTAATTGCAATAAATTTGTGACATCAGTTGGAATATCTACATCAGTCAAATTAATAAACCATTTATCATTGGTTTGTTCTAATGGATTAATAGTTCTGTTTATAAAATTTGTTGCGTTAATGTGGTTATTAATATATTTATTATTTTGAGAGTTTACACTATTTTTCTCTGAACAAGAAAAAACTATGGGTTTAATATTATTATAGTAATCCGATTCTTTTTTTTGCAATAACCAACAGAATTTTTTCTTATGTAAGTAATGTAAGTTTAAAATTTGTTTTTTGAATAATCTACTATGGTGGTTATAAATCTCTTGCCATACCTGGGATGGGATGTTGTTATTTAATCTTTGTGTAAAGTATCTTATGTTTTTGTTAAAATACCCTATTTGTCTGTGCAAGTCAAATATCTCTATGTTTAATATTTCCATTCTAAATTTATGCAACACACTGTCTAACCTTTTTTTTATTTATAATGACACACGTTAATATTACTATTGTCCGATAGATGCTTAAGTAAAATTCTGAATGTCCTACATTGTTTTAAAATTATTAATTTAGACACAGTTCTTATTTTGCCATAATTCGCCCCTAGCCAAGATTTTAAATCTTCAAAACTTTGTTGTCCATAATTATGTTGTACAAACTTAAAATTAAATTGGTGGAACTTAAAAAGTGTATAATTGTTACGCATTGTAAGGCCAGCGTGAATTAAATATATATATTTTGTAACTTAAACTTCGGCTCGTATACAATTAAAATATGTAATATAATAAAAGGCCAACTTAACGAGCTTAAATGATATTAATTAAAAAATTTTTTTATTGCCTGCAAGGCACTCGGTGGTTTCTGATCATATTGTAAAACACACAATTTCAATTGGAACGACACAAAAATCCTAGATTATGAAAGGAATTATTATAAAAGGTTGATATCAGAAATGATATATATTAAAGAAGAAAACAACAGTATCAACCTAAAAAAGGACACCGAGCGTCTTGACGGTTCTTATTTTGATATTCTAAAAAAATTGTCTACGTCATCTTAAAAATTGGGTATATATACAGCGCGCCGACATTGTGAGATACAGATATCGATTTGTTTTTTAAAAAAGTACACATTGTGATTATGTTATGTAAAAAAAAATAATTTTTAAAAAAAAAGTGTTATGTTCGTGACAAAAAAGTAAGTTAATACTACCCTAATTAACCCTTTGGAAAATACTAATAAAAAATGGTTTGTTAATCTTTCCAACACAGACATTCCGCCTAACGTTTCTAATCTGTTGCAAATGGGTGATAAATTCTGTCTTCCGAATATTAGTAAAAAAACAGCGATACATGAATTCATCAAGGACATAGAGAGTAATAGCAAACGAAATAATATTAATAATCTCACAACAATCAGAAATATCGCGGTTCCAAAATTTGCACAACTTCTGAACACGAAGGATAAAAATGACGTAAGTCAACAAAAATTACTTGGTGCACACAGAGATTTAATAAAATTTTGTAAAGACAATCCGAATGTTCTATTCACACGCGCGGACAAGGGTAATGCTACGGTGGCAATGGAAAGATCTCATTATATTAACAAAATGGAAAACGTTTTAAAAGATGTCAACACTTACACTATTGTTAAAAAAAATCCGTGCAAAAAAATAGAGAACGATTTGAATGATTTGTTGAAGAGATGGCTTAAGGAAGATTATATTTCAAAAAACGAATATTATAAATTACGTTGTAGTGATTCTCTCCTTCCAAAAGCGTATGGATTACCGAAAATCCATAAGGAAAACTATCCAGTTAGAATCATAGTTTCATCGGTTGATACAGCTCTATACTCGCTGGCTTCGTTTTTACAAAACACCTTACGAACTAGTCTACCCAAAGCGAAAAGTCATATTAATAATAGTTTTGATTTGTACAGCATATTGTCTGGTAAAAAGATTGATGAGAATGATAGGATGTTTTCCTTGGATGTGGTGTCTTTGTTTACGAACGTTCCTCTGGATCTTGCGATTGACGGTATTAACGATAGATGGGATCACATTGGAATAAATACTAAAATACCGAAAAACGAATTTTTGGGGGGTATAAAATTCATATTGACTTCTACATATTTTACATTTGATGACATAATTTATAAACAGACGTTTGGGACCCCTATGGGGTCACCGTTATCACCAATTATTGCAGACCTGGTTATGCAAGATCTTGAGGATACAGTTCTCAAAGCGTTGAATTTGGAATGTTTGTTTTATTTTCGTTATGTGGATGACATAATAGTGGCCACCTCTATGACTAATATGACTCAGATTGTGAATAATTTTAACAACTATCATGAAAGACTTAAATTCACGGTCGAACAAGAGGTTAACCATAGCTTGAATTTCTTAGATTTATCACTTAAAATTATTAATAACAAAATATATATAGACTGGTATCAAAAAGAAACCTTCTCAGGAAGGACGTTATCATTTTATTCAAACCACCCACTATGCCACAAAATAGGAATAATATATAACCTTGTAGACAGATGTCTATTGCTATCACATCCACTATTTTTTAATAAAAATTTGGAGTTAATTATTAATATACTCAGAAGCAATGGTTACCCTCTTGATCTGATTTTTAACAAAATTAATCATCGGATAGAACACATCATATCTAAGGGGAGCATTATAGAGAGACAGGCCAACATAGAAAGAACAAAAAGTATAAGAAATGACTCGGTCAATAAAAAATTCTTTGTCATTCCGTATATAGATGGGATCTCAGAAATGATTGTTTCCTCGGTAAAAAATAAAAATTGTATGGTAGGGTATAGATGTCTCAACAAACTGGACAATATTATTAAAGCGCAGAAAGATAAAACTAAACATCCATGCAATTCGAATGTGGTTTATAAGATCAGTTGCAATAATTGTAATGCATCTTATGTAGGCCAAACAAAGAGGCAATTGCAGACGCGAATAAAAGAACATAAAAATAATATTAGGTTGGACTCAACGAAACATTCAGTAATTTCTGAACACATAATAAATGAACATCATACTTTTAATTGGGACAATGTTAAGATCATGGACAACGAAAATAATTATTATAAAAGACTCATTTCTGAGATGCTACATATCAAGGAACAAAAAAATGGACTAAATTTAAACAAAGATACTGAGTTACTTAGCGAGTCGTATTTTGATATTTTGGATATATTAGCGAACAAGAAATAATAATAGGACAAATAGGACATTAACGAGTAAAACATAGATATTAGATCATATATAAACACGCACGCTCTCCGATCAAGTAGAGTTTAAAATGAGCTGTCTTTCTGTATTGTTGGTTTGTTATGTGTCATCCTTAATAACTGTTAATAAGTAGCAAAATTATCAAGAAGAACGATGATAGGTAAGCATACTACCAATTGTAGGGGATACATATTATAATTTGGACATGCGTTGATCGGTAATTTTTTATAAATCGCAGCGCCTACGGAACGGGTTAATTTCTCGCATATTAACGATGAAACTATCCGAGATCTGAACAAAATCAGGGATCATATCGAGGCGAACATTGTTGGACAGGACGGATTGAAACACGCGTTAATTACTCAAAAACTCTTGATTCTGAATAACTATAATTAAATTTCGATATTATGTGAATTGTAAGAATTTATATTTCAATAATTATACTGAAGAAGACCGCGTGCGGTCGAAACGTTTATAGAATGATTGTAATTTGCGTTAGTTTTAATATAATGACTGTAGTTTTATAATTTATACATGTAATAAATGGTAGTTGACTGAACATCTCGAATATTCAGCTCGATAAGTTGGCCTTATATTTATCACTTTGTTTTCAATATACGAGCGACAATTGTATTAATTTAAGTTAATACTATTTATTAAAAATCTAAATGTAATATTTGAGCGAATATATTAATTTGTTCACAGTGTCGTTACATAATATAACAGCATGACATATATAAATCTGACGCTCTAACTCAAGCCAACAAACATGAATTTTGTACTGCGTTCGTCATATGATAATCTCATAAATGTTGTATTTATAATAAGGTCAATATGACTAAATTAATTTTTTGACATATTAGCATGATATTGAAAAAGACTGTCGTACAGTCGAAACGTTTATCTTATCTTTTGTATATTATGACGTAAATTAATAAAAAAATTTTTTAATTAATATCATATAAGCTCGTTAAGTTGGCCTTTTATTTTATCACATATTTTAATTGTATACGAGCCGAAGTTTAATTTATAAAATATATACATTCATAGTAAGATTACGTAACTGTATGTGACACTGACAGTCGCAAGCTGTCCCAGGGACAATCAGTTGTCATAATTGACTGGTTTACAGTGTGTTATAATATTTCTGACTAAGAGCCTTATATTGTCTAGTATTTCTCTTTTTCTTCTCTTCTATCTTTTTACATATACTTTGTTTATATAAGAACTTATAATCGTACCATTAATAACTGACTTTGACGCTTGTGGTATGGTGGTGCGTGGTGTTCTCCTTGAGGTTATGCGTGCTGTCCTCATGCTACGTGGATAGGATATTCTCCCTGCCACTGCATGGCTGGCATGCGATTGATCCTGGAGAAACACATATGAATATACATATAAACAATTATTATTAGTCACTTAAAGATACTAAATTTATGATGCTATACAAATTACGATACTTACAAACATGGTCTTATCCAGTGGAGATGGATCAATAATCAATATTTCTGTTAAACACGGCAGAAAATTGTAAATAATTTCATTTTACCTTGCCGTTCTATGCACGTTGATACTGTACATCTGGCGTGCATAATACAGTTGTAGTGTTGACCGGCATCTGACGTCCATGCTTTGTTGCAGTTAGTGTTGGCCTGATTACATAAATTACCATTATAACTATTGATTATATGAGCATACTTACTGATGTTGCACCGTGGAAGTGACAGATTGGGCGGAATTCATAGATGTTTCTTGAGTTTCAAGACAACCTTAAGCTAGTGCTTAAGATCGTGATAGTTTCATGAACATTTCTAAAGACCGATTTTCAAACTGAAACTTGAGATCATGCTTAATGAAGCAAATTCTGTTTCATAGTCAAATCTTAAGTACGACTTAAAATTATTAGATGCACAATCATGACTCAAACCATATCTTGAGCAGGTCTTAATGAAGTCCAGTAAATTGTAGACTTAAGACGGTTGTGAAATAAAGTGCTGTATAGGTTATATAAAATAAAATAGTTATGTATCAATTATATTAAAATTATTTTAAAAATAAACATTTAATCCTATATACGATATTAATTAATTATTTATAATACATTTATTACAAATTTACATAATATTTATTATTTTGAGGTTTTATATTTACATTAAAGGTATTATGGAATTTAATATATTGGGCCAGTTTGACATTAACTTGTTTGAAAGTTCTGATTCCTCTTCTGATGAAGAAAATGACGAAAATGAAGAAATTGGCATAATACGTGAAAAACGATATGTGCGAGATGCAATTAATCCATTTACAGCTTATCGTGAACACGAATTTCATATAAGATATAGATTCTCAAAAAATTCTGTTATGCATGGATTATTGCCTTTGGTTATAAATGGTTTAACAAAGCCTGATAATCGAGGTCTTCCTATTGAACCAGTTATTCAATTGCTTATTTGTTTAAGATATTATGCTACCAGCAGTTTTCAAGTAAATTCTCTATATTACATATCATTAATTTTAAAAAGAGACATAAATAATTGTATTATATATTTTATGTTTTAGAAAGTAAACGGAGATCTTATGAAATTACCACAACCAACAATTAGTAGAATTATATTTAGAGTAACTATGATATTAGCATCTTATTTGAATAGTCATGTTAAATTTGTGACACATGAAGGAGCTATACAAGAAAACCGCAGATTATTTAAAGAATTAGGATATGGGAGATTTGGAGCTATTGGACTTCCTTACATTGATGGGGCAATAGACTGCACACACATTAGATTATTAAGTAATAATTTCGGGGGACTGGCTGAAATGTATAGAAATAGAAAAGGATATTTCTCTTTAAATGTCCAGGTAAAGTAATAAAAATTATGTTTCTATTTTACTAATATTTATTTGTTTTTTATTGTCTTATTCTTTATTTATTGTATAAGGCTATCGTGGGACCACGCATGGAATTTTTAGATCTCGTCCCAGAATGGCCAGGAAGGGAACACGATAGCAGAATTTTCCAAAATTCTAGAATTTTTATGCGGTATCAACAACGTGAATTAACAGGAATGATAGTTGGAGATTCTGGATATCCTGCTCTTACATTTCTGTTAACACCATTCAGAAATCCTCAAAATGAAGAGGAACAAAAGTTAGATATTAAAAATTGAAATTTAATAAATTTTGAAGTTTCTGGTTTTTTAATATACATACATATATTAATAATAAAAATTTTATCGAAGATATAATGAAATTCAATCAAGAACACGAATGGTTGTTGAAAGAACTTTTGGAGTATGGAAGAGACGATTTCCTTGCTTATCAAGAGGATTGTCTTTAAAACTTGTAACATGTACTGGAGTCGTATCAGCGTGTGCAGTTTTACATAATTTAGCACTATATTTTAAAGATGTGCTTCCAGAAGAACCAGAAGTTGATGTAATAATTGAAGATAATGAAGAGCTTTATTACAATGAACTTCAGCAACCTGGAGATGGTTTTATTGTCAGGCAAAACATAGTTCGAGATTTATTTCGTTAACCTTAATGTAATGATATTAATTTTTAATTTTATGTTCCATTCATACATTTTTTACGTTATAATCCAACTATATATTTCAAATCTTATATTGGATTGCATTTTCTATTATATTAAACTTTCCAAAATGTTTTGATAATGTTAGTCATGATCATCATAGCGTCAATGAAAAGTTAGAGGTCCGTTATCTATAATTTTTAAGTAAATTCTGGCAGCCTCAATGTATTTAAAAAATTCTTTAGAAATCAAAGAGTAAATCATTAATTTTATTTTGTCATTTTATTACACTTTATTTTGTATTACATATTTGTTAATAATATGTATAATATATAATACTAAGATAATCATATGATATAATACTCTTAACATAATTCAAAATAAAATACAACATAACACAATATAATGCTGATAACATAATATAAAAAAATAATAATTTTTTAAAACTAGATTTCACTTCTTTTGACTAGTATTCTCAGTCTTATTTAACTTTTTAAATTAAAAATATAATGTAATAAAATAAAATAAGTGTAATTATAAACAATAATTTAGTAATAATAAAAATTAATGTAATAACATTATTTATAACTTAGTATTCACAGCGAATATTTTAGAAATTTTTTTCTACTCATCATCTGAGATATAATGTTCTCCCCTAGAATTTAAAAAACCTTTTTAAATTAAAATTTTATTTATAACTGAAGGGAAAAAGTCATTACTTACATTTCTCTTTGAGCACGAAATTTCGCTAATTTAGCTCTTTCTTGTAACTCTTTTTTTTCTAAGAACAACTTTTTAATCGTCATTTTATTAATAAACTGTTCTCGTTCTTTTTTAAGTTTACATATTTCGATTTCATGATTAATTTTTATATCTGCCAATTCCATTTCTTTGTCACATATTATAGTCATTCTTTCAGTTTTCTGTTTCTTTGAATTGGACCGTGATGTAGCATTTCTATTTTTGTTTCTCTTAAGTTCTCTATCTGATAAAATTGAATTTTCTTTTTCTGTAAAACATTATTTTCATATGTTAAAAATGAACAGCTTTTAATTTAAAATAATAGCTGCTTTTGCGACACAATCAAAATGATCCAGATTAAAATGATCCTGCGCTGTGATTGAATCCGAAATTTCTTTGAACATAATTCAAAAAAATTACAAATTTCAATCACAGCGCAGAATTATTTTAATGTGAATCATTTTGAATCTGTCGCGAAAGCAGCCAATATTTCATATTGTTTTACCAGATTCATTATTAGACTCTTTATCTATTGTATCATATATTGTATCATCCATTTCAAATTCCATGTCGTCAATGTTAAATGCTGGTTCATTAGATGTTAGTAATTTTTGTGTCTTCAAACACTCTCCACTAGCAATGTAATCAATTTTGGTCGAAGCATTCTGCTGAATTGCTTTTAAAACCTTTATTTGTCGATCTAAAATATTGAATTTAATCATTTTATCATTTAAGTTAAAAGAATTTATATATATTATTTATATATTATCACTTATATAAGCTTATATATTGCTTTTATATTCCTGCATACAAAAGTTACTTAGGTCCAATTGCACCAATGTTATTTGGGCTTTAAGCGAGACTTAAATATATATCCATTTTCTTTCTACATAAAGGCAGACACATATTTAAGTCTAGCTTAAAGCCAAAATAACATTAGTGCAATATCAGACCTTAAAGAAATGGTTGATGTTGTCATGAAATCAGATACAAGTACCTTCATATTCCGCCTTAGAAAAGTTACTTGAAGAAATGGTTGGTGCTGTTGTCATCAAATCAGGGACAATGTCTAAAACATTTGGATCAACTTCAGCAATATTTTTTTGTGGTCCTCCTCCTGTGAGAAATCTTGATTGTCTTTCAGTTGTTAATATATTTTTATTTTGCTGTTTTAAATTAGACCAATACTTCCTCAACTGTTGTACATCTCTCTATAATATAAAAACTATTTATATTTCAAAGAGAATTGATAAAATAGTAAAAATAATAAAGTAAATTTTATACTTTAGTAGAAATTAAGGAAGAGTTATTATATTCTTCCATAATAATAGACCAAGCCTCTGACTTCTCTTTTAACGTGGAGGTATTTGTACCTTTCGATTCAACAATATGTTTGTATTTTTTTAAGATCTCAAGGAATACTTGTTTTTCCAAATCTGAATATACCGTTCTTTTAGACATTATCTTTCTAAAAAATTTATTTTTTGAAAACAAAATTTTAAGAAAATGCAAAGGAAATAGATAATAGATTTTCACAACAAAATAGATAAGGTTAAGTTTTCTCTGTTTAAATAAATATTATAGTAAATATATAACAGTAATAATATCATAATTTTTCTCAATTTTTACTCACAATATACGCTAGTAAAGTAAAATAAATTAGTAAAATCTACCGTTTATTAGAATCTCGACAATGTATTTCTGATGACAGCGAAGACACACGTTTCTCTATGTATACTTTTAGATATTGAAATGTCATTGGTCAAATTTTAGGGAATTCCGAATATTTCCGAAGTTGGATGCTTAAGAATGAACTTTACTAAGACAGTCTTAAGCTTTAACCTGATTCTTCAAGACTCGTTTGTGCATATAGGACATTCTCAAGATAATTTTGGACGCTAAGTTCATCTTGGCGAAGACTATCTTAAGACAGATTTTAAGCAACATCTATGAATTCCACCCATTGTGTTTCTGAGGTTATGGTCTCTCTCGGGACTACCATCGACATATAGAATGGACTGAGCATTGCGATATGTAAACGCGCGCCTGCTTTAGAGTGAGAGGTACTACATCTGAGGCCTATGTTTGTCTCTCTTGCAAGCTTCTGATTTGTTATTTCGTCCCCCTCCAGAATTCTAGCAGTAACATAGCATTAAATTTTTGACACCTCACCTTCGCCTACTCGCTTTGGAATAACGTGAAACGTTTATCTTTATCTTTAAAAATTAAAAAATGGTTTTAAGGTGTTTTGTGTGCAAAATTACGTATAATAAAAATAAAAAGGATATACAGATGCATAAGTAAGTACATTAAAAGTATTTTTTATAGGACATTATTGTAACACATTCTTTAAACATATTGTTTTAAAGCTGTATATAATTATATTATATATACGTAACTTGCATAGTTTTGTTAAATATATATTAAAATTATATATTATATAATAAATTAAGATATGTAATAGTATGTAATAAAAATTGTGTAAAGTAAAATTATAAAATTAAAGCAAATTTATTGTTTATTTATAAATATATTAAATATATTAAAACAAATTTTAAAATAAATTCTAAAAAAATCTATTAACTACATATTTCATAGAAAATGCACATGGTCCGCAATTTTTTAGACGGCCCTGCAAAAAGAGAGACAAACATAGGCCTCAGATGTAGTACTTCTCACTCTAAGGGTGCGTTCCGTTATGCACTGCAAGTACTGACAGTACTACCAATAGCGTTCCGATATAGATAGCAGTGCACTGCGAAAGTACTATCATGAGTATATGACGTCATTAATTTTGACGTTATTTCCTGTTGCGATTACTGCAACCGGCGAGGTAAAGCACTCGCAGTAATCAAGATGGCTACCTCCATGTGTACGGTGGAACTAACTTTTAAATTCCATATCTGAATATAATGATACAATATTTTTAACGTAATTTTTACATTTTATTCTAGGTATTTTAATTTGTCGTCTCATTTCATTTATTAATTCCATTTCCAAATCGCTTTCACTTGATGACTCACTCGAATCATATATATTCTCGATTAAATTATATGTAATTAATGCAATAATGGTATTATCCATTTCACCAATTTTTCACTCGATGATTATTAGCGAAAAAGGTTAGTTAAAAGTCTGCTGAAAGCGTACTGTAGTGCGTTCCGTTTTACTATTTTGCAGTAGCTTCAAAGTGTACAAAATTAAAAAGGAACGCTGTCAACAGTACACTTGCATGACGTCATAGTGCCAGTACTTGCAGTGCATAACGGAACGCACCCTATATGTCGATGGGGACTACTCTCCTCTCGATATATTACTTTGGTAGTCTCGAAATTGACATTGACGCGCCATCTGTTGATGAACGATTGAACCACGTTGCCAAGTGCCGAACAATCATGAACAATACTGTAGAAGTGAAACTCGATGTACTTACCTTAACCCTAGGTTACTAGATCTGGGGGAAATTTGGGAAATTGATAATTTTGAGCTTTTCATCATTTTTATCTTATATTAAGCTGATTTCAAGTGCATAAACATTGTTTTTCTGTATTATTACAGTTATTCTACTAATATAATTATATTTTTATACATTTTATGTATGTTTTCGTTAAATCAACAAATATTAAGAGACTATTAAATTAGCTGTCACAACTAATTACAGCGCTTAATGTTAACGTTTATTAAAGTGATTCAGGATACAAATAGCAAACTGCTGAACAACAATTACGCACAATTACACAGATGTTTAGCTTGGGGTATACTTTAACCCTAAGTTACTAGATCTGGGGAAAACTGCTGATCTGACAATCTTAGGCGTTGCGTTAATTTTTTGTACACTAAGTTAATTTTACATGCATAAACACTGTTTTCTCTGTTCTACTATTGTAACTCTACTAAAATAATTATATTTTCATATACTTTATATACACTGCGCTAAAATTAACAAATGCTAACAGACTATTAAAAATAGCTATTATAGCAGTGTATAGTGTTCTATGTTGGTGTTATTGCTACGATTCAGGACATAAACAATTTGCTGATTTGCAACCATGGATAGTTGCATAGATGTGTAACTTGGCGTATTTACCTTAACCCTAGGTTACTAGATCTGGGTTTGTTAATGGACATTTTTGGATTTTCTTTACTTTTACCTTATAATAAGTTAATTTTACGTGTATAAACATTGTTTTCTCAGTATTACTATAGTAATGTTACTGAGACTATTACATTTTCATACATTTTATATATTTTTTTGTTAAAACTAATTAAGTTAAGATACTATTAAATAACTGATATAACTGTGCGCAGTGATTGGTGCTGGTGTTTATTGCTGCGACTTAGGACATAAATAATAAACTGTTGATCCAACATACTATACTTTAACCCCAAGTTACCTAGGGGAAAATCTGACAAACTGGTCAATTACGAGTTTATTTATTTTGTGATGGATCTTCTCATATGAAGTATTGTTTATAAATATTATTGGTTTATGCTAATTATAATATAATACTATCTATACTATTTACAATATATATTCTAGTAAATTGCACTCTTTAAATGAGTTTATGCAATTGCTTAGAGTTTAAATAGGTGTGTTCAAAAATTGCCGCGGCATCTCCTCCTCGGAAGATATTTTGAGGATTTGGTTGATAGCTGCTTATGTGACACACTCTATTGGTGGCAGTTAATTATTAAGATATAATTAAAATAGATGTGATTTCTGCGTTGGTCCTCTGTGTTATTTACATAACATTAGAGGAGCCTTACGCGGTCTATTTATTGTCACTGCTAGTATTGTATCTAACATCAAGATGGAGTCAGCAGAGGATGTTATGGTGCGCTTGTGTAAAGCCCGTCTCTCACCCACTATGTTACTGGGGTGCGCACTTAATTCGATCATTAGATTGCGTAAAAATGACGTAATAGGTAGTTGCTCTTTATCTTTGGATGATCTTAATAATATTGAGGCCTGCATTAGGATCATTTACAACCAAGGCCATAAAATGTTTTGCGCTCGTTCGTACCTGCTTGGCAAAGTTGCTAAATATGAACTTCTTTTGAAAGATGCTAATTCCGACAAAATTATACGTATCAATACCTCACCGGAAGACGAAGAAAAGGAAATTGAAATAAGCTCGCAGAGGATACATAATAACTCGTCGGATTTAAATGAAATCAACTCGCTCAATCAACTCATGGTTGAATCCATCGAATCCCAACTTTCGGATCTTAATAAGATGATAGAACTTGACAAGACGGAGGACAACTTGATATGCATTGGTCATTCAATAAATAATAAAAGAGCGGAACTGGATAAAATTAGTAAAGAATTTCATGCTATTTCGTGCTCAATGATTTGTAGCACTAATGATGACACTCTGGACGGATCTTTCTTATGCCAACCCTGCAAGTCTTTGGTTCATGAGCATGAGGGAAGGCCACCCTCTAAAAAACCAAATAATTATGATAACATGGCAGACACAACGGAAACGAATATGAACTTACCGTCGCAGGAGGAACTCGGAGCCTCCAGTGATCGGCATGGCGGAGTTGTCGTCCCCGGCCCCGCCTTGTCGTTATCAAATGAGGGGCTGGCCTGCTTGTTACCGTCGGGCGAGCAGGTCAATGAAGCTACCGCGGATAATGGCAGATCCCATGTTGAAATGGTCTGCGAACAAATGGAGACTGTTATGGCGGATAATGAAACGCCAAGCAACTTACCTGAGTGTGATGAGCCAATAAGAGATCCACTTGAAGTCGGTAGATTGAGCTCGAATACGCCTTCTGTCGAATTTGTTAGAGATGTAACACCTGTTGAACAAACAGCCAAGCGCAAGGCTGATGAGTCTCCTGAGAACGACACGGTTGTTCCAGCTAGTAGGATTCGTAAAATGCGCTTAATTGACAGCTCTGACGAGCAGGATGCTGTTGAAGAAACAACAGAGGATGTTGAGCCTATTGCTGGCCCAAGTAAAGAGCATGCAAGGAGTTCCCCTTCCTATGGTAGAGTTAGAATTCTTCGTAAAAATAAAAGTAGCAATAAAGTAAGACGCAGTGGAAGGATTGCTGCTGTAGAGAATAGAGATGTTTCAAACAGATCTAGCCCTGTAGTAATCTCGGACGATGATGCTGCAGATGAGGCTGCATCTGATTTGTCTGACGAGCAGAGCGCCGGGACCTCCAAAAAGACGTCAAGAACTAAGAAAAGGAATTCTCCGCCTATGAAATTGAGATCGAGGAGAAGAACTGGCTATGAGCCTGATCTGGACGCTTCTGGCTCAGCAATTTCGTGCGATTCTGATGTTTCTAACAGGATCAGCAAAGAAGAATTGGTACGCATGAGCAATGCTGAGGTTGCCTCTTATGGCCTATCATTGGTCAAGCAGACGGATATTTTACGGACTAATAGCAAGAATCTCTCTGGTCAGTATAATGGTCGCTGGAGAAGATATATGGTGCAATTAGAAGACGTCGTCCGCGCATATAGTGAAAAGACCCAGGAGCAAGGTGATATAACTCATTTGAGGAAACGAAATCAGGAGCTAGAGGAGGGGATCAACAAGATCCGTAAACGCGAGGAAAACACGCAGAGGAAACTAACAAGCCTGCAAAGCGCGATGGAAGCAATGCAAAAGGAGATGCAACGAATCAAGGAAGAGCGTAGTGAAGCTCCAAAACTCCAAAAGGTGTCTAAAGTTGGGCTGCCTGTAGAGGAACGAAGAGACACTGAATCCTCTGCCGCTCTGTCTCCTACAATTGGTGCTCGCCGAGAGCCAAGAGCTACGAGTGGGACGATTGATTGGGCCTCTGAGTCGGCTGGTTCGGCATGGAGCCCACCTCCGTCGGCGAACCTCAAAGGAACATCCTACATCGCGTCCAGAGTGTTCTCCAATACGAGCGCTAACAAAATTCCTAAGGAGACTAAGGATTTCCGTCCGTCGTTAAAAAGCCCTCGTCCAAAAACGATTAGAATAATTGAGAACAGGCAGGTTGTTTCCCCCAGAGTGGCGCAGAGTAAGCCCACCTCTCTGAAAACGGCATCTATGACAAGAGGAGGAGAGGATTTCCCACCCCTTCCTCTGCCATCTGCCTCGCGTCGGAGCTCTAGAAGCTCCCGTGATGCTGGGACTGGTGATCGGTGGTACGAGGGAGACGTCAGACCCTCATTTATTAAACCTAGGATTGGTAGACGTAAGGTGGCTGTGGTCATCATTACTGGCAAGGCTGGATCTGACATGTCCTATTCTGACATCCTCCGCACGGCCAGGCAAAATATCTCCCTGGAGGCCCTAGGTATACGCGAAACTAGGATTCGCCCAGCCTTTAACGGAGGCTATAAGATAGAAGTACCCGGTGAGGGAGGAGCCGAACTTGCAGCCAAACTTAAAGACCAGTTGGAAATAATTCTTCGAGATATTGCAAAGGTGGACAATCCCGTGGCTCGAGGTGAGTTAAAAATCACAGGACTTACTCCCTCCACGACTATGGAGGAGATTAGAGAACAGTTGGTGCGTATCAGTGGTTTTCCTCGACTGCATTTAACATCGCTGAAATCAAGAAAAATGCGCGACGGAATGGGCATTACATAGGTGCAATGCCCTCTTAATGCAGCGATATCGATTGCTGAGGCTGGTCGCCTCTCCATTGGCTGGACGTCGGCTAGGGTAGAATTCCTTAAAAAGCGTCCAGTGCAATGCTTTAAGTGCTGGCGCTTTGGGCACGTTAGAACCAATTGTACGGCCCCTGAGGACAGGTTTGGTTCCTGTTTCAGATGTGGAGACAGGGACCATAAGGCGAAGGATTGTTCCTCTGCACCGCACTGTGTGATATGTGTAGATCTAGGGAAAAACGGCAACCATCGTATTGGCTCGTATGCCTGCCTGGTCAATAATGGCTACGACACTGTGAAACGAGCTGATCAAAGACAGTCTGCGCGTCTTTCCAATTATGGCAACTAAAATATTACAGTGTAACTTAAATAGGTCGTGGCCGGCCTTTGATTTACTACGCCAACAGTCGCTTGAGTTAGAGATCACCCTGGTTGCAATCTCCGAACCTCCCTGTGGAGTTAATATACCTACGGACTGCTATTATAGCAGAGATGGTTTGGCTGCCGTTATGATACTTGGCAATGACGCTAAAAGCAAGTTATATAAAAGTTTAGACAACATAATTGTTATCAAATATTTAGACTTTTATGTCATGTCTTGCTATATCTCGCCAAATAGCTCAATGGCAGATTTTGACGCTTTTATTGATAATCTTGATGGAATAATTAAGCAAATACGTTCCAGGATTATAATATGTGGCGACTTTAACGCCAAATCTCACTTATGGGGGTCTAAAACGACCGACAAGAGAGGTCGGCTGATTGATCTTCTGGCGTCATCTAATGGTTTATCTTTGGTAAATATAGGTGATTTGCCTACCTGTATTCGCCCGCAGGGTTCATCAGTTATTGATCTTACCTGGGCTTCGCATGATATGCTCAGCAACATCTGTGATTGGAAGGTCAGAAATGATATGGAATCATTATCCGACCACGTCTACATCACCTTTACATACTTGGATCGAAATAACGCTCAGTCACCACCTAAACTTCCCTCTAATAGATGGAATTTCAGAAAAATGGACAGGTCACTTTTCATTGAATGCCTGGAATGGTACTGCGATTTCAACTCAGCAGATGTTTTGGATGGTGATGCGGTTAACCCCATCGTTGATTGGATTAGCCAAACTATGGCTGATGCGTGTTCCGTGTCCACACCTCGTTCGAGCAGGAGTAAGAGAAAGTGTTGTTATTGGTGGACAGAGGACATCAATAAGCTCAGAAAAACAACCATTGGCGACAGGCGTGCCCTTACTCGGCCCAGGAAAAAGAAGAACGCTGACCTTATTCTAAGCGCCAACCAAAAAAAAAAAAAAAAAGGGAATCTAGGAAGATCCTGCGACTGGTGGGGCTCCTGAACTCTGCGTAGGAAGAGTTGATTGGCTCAATCAATCTAGATCCATGGGGAATTCTCTATAAACTAGTCTTAAGGGGTAACACCACTGTAAAATTTCAAAAAATCGATTTTTTGGGGCTTAAAAAATCCTTTGAACCCTGTAGAATACGAGGAAAAAACTTTTATACGTGAAACTAATTTTTTTCATCGAAATTCCGAGCTATGTACTGAACGAGTCGGGCGACTCCGAAACGGCTACCTGCTCCGGGTGGAAACCTGTCGAGAGAGTAGTGCATAATACCTTGCTTATTGATTTCTAAGTTATGTGAGACACTACTAGATGTCTCTAGAGGTAGTTTTAGAAGCATTTTTATATAGAAACACGTGTTTACGCGACAGTATTGCATTATTTCGTGTACGAAACACATGATTTTCCCCTTTGTAATCAATAACCGTCGTTTATTGTTGTACGTGTGCGCTTCGAGTTGAGCAGTTTTTGTGTAATTTCGGAGTGTTAGCAAAATGAGTGATAAAAAAAAATGTATTGCGACAAAAAGGCACAAAAGAATTGCATTCAACGCGGCGTCGAAGCAACGTGTCGAAAAGGCGACCAAAGAACAGATTCGAGATTGAAGGTGACGCGGAAGGCGTGAGTGCGTCTGCCAAGAAGTTGAAAACGAGTGAAGATTTTGACGTAAATTATGACTTCAGGTACAGAATTATAAATTTTTTGGCAGTTTTTCCTGTGATTTCACAACATGTAAAGTGTAAAAACTGTAATTCCGATATTACTTTTCGTGAAAGAGATCCTCGTGGCTTAGGCTTCAAAATAGTTATCGCTTGTCCTAATTGCCCGGAAGTTGTAATTCCTAGTTGTAAATATATACGAAACGCATACGAAATAAATCGTCGAATCGTTCTAGCTATGCGATTAATAGGAGTTGGACTAAATGGAATTATAAAGTTTTGTGCTTTCATGGAATTACCACGTCCAGTATTCCAATCTTTTTACGATAAATTAGTGAGTATGATTTCAATCGCAACATCAGCAGTAAAAGATTCCAGTTTGAAAAAAGCAGCACAAAAAGAGAAGAAAATGACTGAAGAACATGGACAATCTGCAGGAATAACGGTTTCCGGTGATGGTTCTTGGAGAAAACGCGGATTTTCTTCGCTTTTTGGGATCACGTCATTGATTGGTTGGTTTTCTGGGCAAATTGTCGATGTTGAGGTAAAATCTAAATATTGTAAAAGTTGCGAACAGTGGAAGAAAAAATTGGACACTTGTGACTATGACGAATGGTATAAAACGCACGCCGATGTATGTAAAGCGAACCACGAAGGATCATCGGGAAAAATGGAAGTTGACGCAGTCATCGAGATGTTCCATTGCTCAAAAGATTTGCACGATCTCAAATATTCAAGCTACATCGGGGATAGTGATAGCAAAACATTTAAAGGTATTATCGACTCTGAACCGTATGAAGATTTAGTAGTACAGAAGAAAGAATGCATCTCGCACGTACAGAAAAGAATGGAAACGCGATTTCGTAATCTTAAAAAATCATCGAAAAACCTCAGAGGAAAAGGAAAATTAAGTGCCAAATTAATAGACGAGCTGACTATTTATTATGGTTTGGCCATTCGTCGGAACCCAACATCCTTAGATGACATGAAAAATGAAATTTGGGCGACCTTATTTCATAAGTTATCAACTGACGAAAATCCGCAACACGAGAAGTGCTCGAAATCTTAGTGCAATTGGAAGAAGGCGCAAGAAGCAGATACCTTGGACACTTTCCGTCACAAGTCACCGCTTTCCGAGGAAGTTTACGAAGCCATAAAACCTATTTATGAAGATTTGAGTCGGGACGAGTTACTAAACCGTTGCCTGGGCGGTTACACGCAAAATAGTAACGAAAGTTTTAATGCGACAGTGTGGAATTTGGCTCCTAAATCGTATTCAAGCGGCAAGACAGTCCTAAATATAGCAGCGGATATCGCTACATGCGTCTTTAATGATGGAATAACTAATATTTTACGTATTATGCAGCTTCTGGAAATGGAAATTGGCGTCGAAGCATATAATTTTTGCATCGAATCCGATGCAAAACGAATCAGCACGCAGAGGCACAATTATCAGATGCGGCAAAAAAAGCGCGCTCTGGCATAACATCTGCGAGGAAAGAAATGGAGGACGAATATTCCAACTTAGAAGGGCAGCTTTACGGTGCTGGGATTGCAGACTAATGGTAAAAAGTTTTTTTGAGTCGAATTTTAAATTTTTTCATGTTCATAATACAACTCCAAACTTTAAACGCGTTTTTCTCGAAACACGTTTTTTTAACGCGGCAAGCAGTATAACTCTAACAATTTTTAATATTTTCACTTGAAATTTTTACTGTACATTCAAAACAACATTTCGAAGTACAATACGTATGGAATTTTTGATACGTTGCTCTAAACATTTTTTATTGCCAAATAATGTCACTTTTTTTGTCGAAAAATGAACGACTTTATTCAAATGCTCGCCAATCACTCAAAAATCAATATTTCTAAAATCCCATACGTATTGTACTAGATATACCATTGAAGATCATGAGGAATTTTTTATTTGTTCTAGGTTCAAATTTCCAACGGCTACACTGCTTGCCGCAGAGCCTTTTATTTTAAAGGAGCATCGGGAATATGGCTGCCATTCCGCCATTTTGTAATATTATTTTATGAAAAAATTTGTATAAGTACTTCAATATATGCTTATTAACTTCACGGAGTATTAATACTTTATTTCATTTCCTTTCATTAAAAAAAAAATGTCGAAAAAGTGCAATTTTTTGGGCCGTTACAGTGGTGTTACCCCTTATACCTTTAAATTTATAAAATAATCTTATTTGCTTTAATTTATATTCATATTTGCATGTAAATTGTAAAAAAGTTTAATTGTAACTTCTACTGTTATTTTATAGTTAGAATTTAATAATCATGATAGACAGGTAAAATTTATCAATTTACATTTACATTTTATAGTTATATGTAAATTGATAGATAACTCGCATCAGGAACGAATTGCTAATTTTTTCTAATATTTTTATCTAATTGCGATGGAGGGTTAAAACTTATCAATTTACATTTATATTCTATAGTTATATGTAAATTGATAGAGAGTTTGTGTCAGGAACGAATTTTTAATTTTTCTAATATTTTATATCTATCATTTAAAAATTGTGATGGACAAATAAAACTTATCAATTTACATTTACATCCATAGTTATATGTAAATTGATAGATAACTCGCGTCAGGAACGGATTTCTAATTTTTTCTAATATTTATATATATCATTTGGAAATCGCGATGGAGGGTTAAAACTTATCAATTTACATTTATATTCCATAGTTATATGTAAATTGATAGAGAGTTTGTGTCAGGAACGAATTTCTAATTTTTCTAATATTTTATATCTATCGTTTAAAAATTGTGATGGACAAATAAAACTTATCAATTTACATTTACATTCCATAGTTATATGTAAATTGATAGATAACTCGCGTCAGGAACGGATTTCTAATTTTTTCTATTTATATCTATCATTTGGAAATCGCGATGGAGGGTTAAAACTTATCAATTTAAATTTATATTCCATAATTATATGTAAATTGATAGACAACTCGCGTCAGGAACGGATTTCTAAATTTTCTAATATTTTATACTTATGATTTGAAAATCACGATGGACGGTTAAAACTTATCAATTTACATTTATATTCCATAGTTACATGTAAATTGATGGAAAACTCATATGGAGAATAACGTATTAATTTTGTGCTATTATACCGTGCCTGCGGCTACATATGATTTATCGGTTATTCGCCAACTGTCCCTGACTAAGTTTAACACTCAATTTACATACATCTTTTGTAGCTAGATGTAAATTGGTGTTTATTATAGAAAAAATCATAATCAAGATAAAATACCTATATATTCATGGTTGAACTATGATATCCTTATTTAGTAATATTTTCGAGCGTACGACGGATATAATGTTATATTGCATTGTTACATCCCAGGGGCGTTGGGCGTCAAAACTACCCACGTAATCCCCGAGGACCGCGGGTGCTGGGAAATTTTAACGGAGATCTAGACCCGAAATTCTCGAATTATAACGAAGGTCGGTTCTGGATCGTTATAAGGGGTTTCTTCGTGACGGCCAAGGTAAAAGAGGAAGTTACTCAAGACTCCGGGGCAGGCTCCACAGGTAGAATCACGCACAGCGACAGTTCCTACCAAAACTCGGGTGCAGGAGGTGCACTCCTCAAACGCGAATCGTCTCCTATGGTGATATAGTGGCGTACTAGGCGCTCGTATAAATTCCGTTGCGCAGACTCCAAGTTAGTGAAACAACGATCGCAGATGATTGTGCGCGTAGTGAGGTGTCTACGGAATATAGCTATGGTGCAACGAGCGGACGCTACCCACTCGGCATAGGACAAAGATGGGGATCTAAGACGTGGATTAGGGTTAGCAATTCGGGGGCGCATTATTCATCGCGGGGTGGTTCGAGTAACTGTTGGCGATTGACTCCCGAAGTGTTATACGCGGACCACCGGTGCGGATATATATATAGAAAATAGGTGCGGGTAGCCAGATATATATAGATGTCGTCGTCAATTTGGTGATATTGGTCGGCAACCCACGCCGCCGCCATATTTGCACGTCTTCCCTAACACGCGGTCGACGACCCACGCCACCGCCATACTTGCGCGTTTCATTCGAACACGTGGTCGGCAACCCACGCCGCCGCCATATTTGCACGTTTTCCCTAACACGCGGTCGACGACCCACGCCACCGCCGTACTTGCGCGGTTCATTCAAACACGTGGTCGGCAACCCACGCCGCCGCCATATTTGCACGTCTTCCCTAACACGCGGTCGACGACCCACGCCACCGCCATACTTGCGCGCCTTATTCGAACACGTGGTCGCCAATCCACGCCGCCGCCATATTTGCATGCCTTCTTCAACACG